TTCTGTCATCTGGGTGACATGTGCACTAAATACGTTTATTGTAAACAACCAACTGTTCTGTCATCTGGGTGACATGTGCACTAAATACGTTTATTGTAAACAACCAACTGTTCTGTCATCTGGGTGACATGTGCACTAAATACGTTTATTGTAAAAAAACAGTTTTTCTGTCATCTGGGTGGTATATGTACTAAATACGTTTATTGTAAACAACCAATGTTCCTGTCATCTGGGTGACATATGTATACTAAAAACGTTTATTGTAAACAACTAGTTTTTCTGTCATCTGGGTGACATGTGACAGTAAATATTTTTTCAAGATTAACAACACATCTTTGTTCCTTAATTAGTACTTTTTTCTTTTATGACAGAATGTAAAAACATAATGACAAATATTTAAAAGCTTCAGGAAATACTTTTTAGTTGAGTAAAAAAAAATGAGCTTATAACACCAGTTGATTACTTATGTAAAAAACACAACAAGATAAAAATGTTTACAACATAACTTCTCTGAAATAACGACTAGGGTTATCTAATAAAAAATAGAGAAAAGGCCACTAGTGAATAGCATCTACCGCCAACTCTTTGGCTACTTTAATCGAATAGAAAGAAGTTACTATCACTTTTATAATGCACGTATGGTCTGACGGCACAGAACACAATTTTGCGACAATGGGACTCGAACCAGGGGCCCTCAACTTCAAAGTAGGACACGATAAACACTAGGTCACGCCCATTCCAATATGCGTCTGTTCGATTGGATTAAATATTTCTTGTTTCCTTAAAAAAAAATCAAATCTAAAGGGGCTGAAAGTTCTGGTGCATGGGGACCTTTAAATAACGAATAATCAAAAAATTGGGTCTTGTATTTAAGTTAACTGGATGATATTATTGCACAAAATTTACAGGTTGAATCATAGCAAACCTTTCCCAATAAATGAATACGAAACTACAAACAGCTAACGAAAAAAACCACAGTAAACGGAACGAACTGTTAGAAGTCTGAGAATCTAGTTTCGACACATTCGTGCGTCCTCTTCGGTCTCACGTTGTCTTCTGGCAGGAAAAAAAACTAGTCAACAAACGCCTACGTGACACAGGAGGTCAGGAAGTTGTTTCGTTTTGCATTGTTTTCCATATTTTATGTCTTTTTTTTTATGTCCAAACACTCTCGTGTCAACCACGTGTACGGAAACCAAAACAGTGTCATTTTTCTTCATATGAGAGATTCTGGCCATCAAATCGATTGAAAATCAACAATAATTTTATACAAAACGGATAACTGCATAAAAAAGAAGAGTCGTCGAAAGTTGCCTAATTTCGACACCTCCCACAGTTACTTTAAACTTAACAACTTCCTGACATCCTTTGTCCTTAAGAGAATCCCAAGATCAGGGGTCACGTAAGCGTTTGTCGACCAGTTTTTTTTTTCCTGCCAGAAGACAACGTGAGACCGAAGAGGACCCAGAATGTGTCGAAACTAGATTCTCAGACTTCTGACAGTTTGTTCCGTTTACTGTGTTTTTTTTTTTTTCACTAATTGCCACACACGACGTTGTGTTCTTTTCTTACAAACAGCTATCTTTCCGTCTCGATTTTTTTAAAACTGTCATTGGACGCTCTTCGAATTACTTCAACGTTACCAATATTTGAAGTGTCGGCTACATAGAATGTGGCATGAAATATAACAAAAAGTAATATGGGGAGACTCGCTGTGGCCCACACTGTATGTTTGTTGGGACGATTTGTGGCTAACGATCTTATTAATATTTTAAAACGATAACTAGTTTTCAACTAGCGCCTATGATCGTAAAGAGACTGATTACCCCAGAACTCCCCACATCTACTTCTTAAAAACAAAAACAAAACAAAAAACAACTTATAACAGTTTGTTATCGGTGAGTTTCAAAAAAACAAAAGAAAAACGTCCGGCAAACTAACTACCAGATCACGTTCATCCAACGTTGTTGTTGTTGGTGGGTGTTTTTTTTTTCTTCTTGTTTTTGATTTTTCTTTTAGCTGGAAGCTATACAATGGGCTTTCTACACTATATTCACCAGATGGAATCGAGCCCAGGATTTTATCGTTGTAAGTAAGAAAACGTATCGCTGACCCACTGGGGGGGGGGACACCTTCATCATATCTTATCAATCAAATTATTAATATTATTGTTACACAATGGGTTTTTCTGCACTATGTTCCCCAGATGGAATCGAGCCAGGAATTTTAGCGTTGTAAGTACTAAAAAGTATCGCTGACCCACTGGGGGAGGGAAAGGGGACACCTCCATCTTATGTTATCAATCAAATTATTATTATTAACGTTTTTTAATATATATACATAAACAAATCAAAGATCACAATTTCTAATATATAACAAATGTGGAGAACTGCGGAAGAGTTTGACAAAACGTACGGAGTGGATCAAATCAACTTAGAGACAACAACAATAAAAATAACAAGTTGGCTTGGGAAAAGGTGTGTGGCACTTTTCGGAAGAGAGAGAAGTACAACAATGGACACCCACTCACTTCCTGGGATCCTGGCTTCCAGCCTGCACCGTCCATGGATGGTCGTCCAACGTTGACGTCCAACATTTCGATCCCCTGTTTACACCCGAGAGTAACGTTTGTAATTTCACATTTGTTGATCATCTAGTTTTTAATAGCTTACTCGTTAAGCACGGAGTAAGGTGACATAAATAACTTAACTCGTGTAATCTGAAAACTCAGTGCAAAGTGTAGGCGGGAGGTAAGGGAAGACGATAAACTTGTTTCACGTGAGGACTGAACAGGAACCGTGTGTAACTCAAAAAAATTATCACCATGGAAACAAAGAAGAAACAGTGCTTTTGGAGGAGGGGGGGAGAACTGCAAAAAAAAACAAACAAACGTGTGATGCAAACATTATCTGGGTTGGGAAATATATATATATATATATATATTAAGATAGCTTTTATATGCGGGAACATCTGTTAACTGAGTTCTTGCACAGATCTTAAAATATAACGTTGATAAACGGAAACATCAGCACGTGTAGATCTTGAAAGTCGAGTTGTTCAAAACTTGAAAATAGCGTTGATAACTGGACGAATTAATTGTTGGGTGAGATGTTGCAAAAGAAATATCTACTGAAGCTTTTCGAAAGACACTAATCATAGGAGAACCGT